GCTCTTTGGATTGGATTACATCAAGTGTTTTAAAACTAACTGGCCGGTTATGAATTTCTTTATAGTTTTGAAAAACCATTTCTAAAGGAAATCAAACAGAAACAATTTTCGGAAAACAATGTACGAACTACAAAAATAAAATAGTAGTGTAGTATCAGTGGTGGGTCAATACCCAGAATTTTATTACTTTATTTCTATTTAATTACTTTAACTACGTCAACTGACCTACGATCACCTTCTGTGTAGTATATTTAGTTGGAGACCTAAAAAAAGTATCTTAGTTAGAGATTACTAAAAGAGTTTAATCCTCCCTTTTTATAACCTTAGCTAGTTAAAACAAAATTTTGATCATGACATTTTTCATGTAAAATTTATTAATAAAAGTCAAATATGTATTTCATGTGTTTGGTGCTCTATAACCCTAATTCTTATTTAAAAACATATTATAAGGGATTCAAAATAACCATTTAGTCACTGGTTTTTTCCTGAACCCTAGTTTCAAAATACTTGGAAAAAAATCTCTTTTAAACTCTAGAAAGTAGGGCTAGACGCAGAGCGGATATCTCGAAAAAATGCAGTATTTGTGATTCGATTTGTTTTTCTTGATATATAATTCTAAAATTTGCGTTGCTTCAGACAATTTCAGATATCCGAAATTACAGATATTTAAAATTTTTCGGATATTTGCGGATATTCATGGATATCCATTTTTAGCAAAATATAATAATCAAAACACCATATTTTTATTTTTTTAAAATTGTTTTGATTTAATATTTAAACTAATTAATGAATAAATATATTAAATTATCTAACTTTATTTGGTATAACTAAAAAAAATGAAAAGTGGAAGATTAAAATGGTGAAAAAATGAAACATATATTTTTATTTTAGAAAAATAAGAAGTAAATACATTTCCATTAAAAGTTAGTATCTACCTATTTTTACTATAAATATTTTTGCCAAATATATTTAAAAAAGTCTAAAAATGTAAATATATGTTATAAATTATATGTATATGTAAGTAATATACTGATCAGAGCAGATATTCAGATTTTTGAAATTAGTATTTGTGATTTGCTTTATTTTAGACAGATACTAAATTTTACTATTTGTTTTGTTTTGATTCACAACGGATATCCGAATTTTTTTAATCGAATAAAGCAAATACCAGATCGGAGCGAATCTAACGGACAATTTGTCTAGCCCTACTAGAAAGTAAAGTCAAAAGATTTTTTTTTTCGAATGAGATTAATCAATGAAAGGACGTGTGGATCATGCAATGTTCGTTTACTTCGATCAAGAACCAACGTAAGGATTTATCTAAGATTTGTTACCATCTGTTGCTAGTTTAGAAATTTTATAATTCGTGAAGTAGTTTGAATAGTAATACATGAAATCTTATTCGTTTGGTGGACTTTTTCCTTTTACTTCTTTGGTTTTTTCTTTGTTAGTAAGCAACTGAAGGTCAAATTTTATTAACAGAGTTCGTCCAACAGGATTAATTCAAGGGTGGGAATAAGGAAATATCGATAACCATGTAACAGATAATGTAATATTACGACCATTCTAAACGACGGCTAGTCGGCTACATATATTATCGATACTTTTTACGTACGTTTCTTATTCTTGGTTTGATTTTCAATTTCACCACGTCAAGAAATTCAAGATTAACAGCGTACAAAGGCGGAACCACTAGATTTGATGCATCATGTTTAAACCCCGAAATTAATTCAGAAATCCCCAAAAACAATTTTAGCAAAAAAAAAAACTGATTTTTTAATTATTATTTTTTTGGGTGATATAGTCGTTAAATTAACAGCCAAGAGCACTCTCAATGGTGAGAGACTCTCTTGAATTTTTTAAACAATATAATTTAATTAAATTTTAAAATTTTAATTGAAAAGTTGAAACATTAACCAATTAAAGATAGAGAAATGTCTCTAGAATTTCTAATGAGTTTCTTTAAGAAGAACCATTTCTTTTTCTTTCTCCAACTTTTTCAATTTTTATTTTATTTTAATGTTTAGATACTCATTGAAAAACTCCCATTAGAGTTGCTCTTTACATCCAAATCGCTACTACGTACTCTCTTTTCCG